AAAGAAATAGGGCGGGGCTGTATTGACTGGATAGATCTGGCTCAGTAAAAGGACCAGTCAGGGAACCTTTTGACAAAAGTAAGGAACCTTCGGGTTCCATAATATGTTAGGAAGTTTTTGAGTGGCTGAACGACTGCGGTCTTCTCAAGAAGTCAAGTCTACGGAGTTAGTTGAAACATTGGAGGGTAAAGTTAACTAAAAGTAAAGCTATCCCTGTAACAGATCGTGATGGAGCATAGGGTTGTGAGACGTTGAGGATCCCACATTTTCTAGACAATCAAAGATGGCGGTAAGGTTTTCAGCCTTACGCGCCGGCCGCGCTTTACTACCCAGGAAACCTAGTTTAGTTAATTCCTGGTACTCATTTCTGTTAGAGGCTGAGTCGACCACAGGGCCATAGTGCGACCGGAAGGATTAGGTCAATTGAAAAAATCCAATGACCTTATTGGGACTTGAACCTGCGACCTTCCGGCTTGTAGCAAAGTGCCTCAACCAACTACGCTACCGCGTCCTGAAGTTAGGGAGTGTTCTAGTCTGCAAGCCCAGAAGAGCGCAAGCGCGCCGACTTCCACTTCATAAAGGGCTCTCCTGAGATGACGGGCAGTAGGGGCTGAAAGTACTTAACAAGAAATCTGAGCAACTGAAGTGTGATTACTATTCTTGGGACTGACCATCGTCTTAGGCTTCAAATTGTTGTAACGTGGACGGACACAGCATTGCTAGGTAACTGACCGTTAAACATCTCGCGACGAAATACACGCAAGACATCAATAAAAGTACAGCGTTTACTATGCGGTCGGTGTCGTGACCGATGCTATGCAATCGCTCGGTAAACACGTTCCAACAATAGAGAGACTATTTTCTGTGTGGTCGGAGCGAAGGTTCTACAATGAGATTCCAGGAATAACTATACAAAATCATGAGAATGAGCATATTCGCGGTGTAGGACAAGGTGAAGCCAGACACAGAAAATATAAGAGGCTTAAACTTGGCGGTGGTCAAGGTTACGACCGTTCAAATGACTAAATTGTCGTTGTAGCATAAGATATGTAAGTTAGGTATAATCTGCTCTGTAAAGCCTGTACTGACAGAGGACTTGTGTGTAGTGCAAAAGGAAGAATTTTCAATAACATGTTATATGTGCGAAATTTACACTTGACGAAAGACCAGACATATTCATAAGAGACAAACTCATCTTCTCGCCAGAGAGGATGTTACATAAGGACTATTACCGCAAGAGTTCAGTGGAAAAGAAATATCTCTGGTCGTGGGCCTCAAGGCGCTTGACGAGAAGACGAAATGATTGGCGGTTAACCGCCAGTCGTAAAGTAACTCTGACTCTAACTGACTCTAAACAAGCAGTATTTGGGAGTATTCGAGAGTGTTTAAGTGTCTAGTTAGTTAGTTAGTTAATTAGTTAGTTATTGGAGAGGGTGGGTTTCCCCATGCACTTAGACCAGTATTGGTCCATTGCTTCTCCTTCAATGATTTTCTATCAGTCTCCATACCCTACCGATATTGGCGCGTACCATCAGTCCCGATCGAGCCAGCGAGTTCGGCTTCTACTGGCTTGGCGGTATCTATAATGCTTCCCCCATCTATCAGAGGCGTTAGAGACTACTGTTGGGCGGGAAATGTCCTTGAATTTGGCTCAGTGACCTCATTTGCAAATATGAGGTTCTGTTACGTGCCGTAAAGCTACGACACGGGACCCACGGCTTAAAGTCCCTCCCGGAGGACTTGTTCTCTGAATTTTTCCGCCCTTAAAAATTCCACGACCTCCGCCGGGTTTGAACCCGCGTACCACGAGTCATGAGGTGGGAACGTTACCGCTGTTTAAGTGTCTAAGTGAGAGTAACATGTTTCCAACACTAGATCCAATTCCGCCATCAGGACATTTGGGCCCGTTAGAAGGAGCGAGTCCGTGGACAACGGAAGTAGTTACAGCGAAAGTGAGAACGTGACACGATGCGCAGGTAAGGCAATGGTAGTCGCCCTGTGCTTAATTAATTAAGCACCACGCCATTAAGACGTATTGGGGGTAGAAGTATAGTTCCAGCATCTTTTAACCTCTGCACTAGATGGAGGTGAGTAGTCAGCTTCACGCTCCTACCGCCTTACTCCAGGGAAAACAGCTCACGATACCCGTTGGATATGAAGCTAAGTGAGCCTCAGGGACGGCCTGGTATCCGTGGTGAAGAGACAAATATCTTGCCTCTGTTGGGAATCGTATAACGGCCGCCAAGCCCGCAGTCCATGGCAGTACAGACTGAGCTATTGTGGTTCATCAGTAGTGACAGCGTAATGAAACAAGTCAGGCGGAAGATCCAAGGAATGTAATGCCGGCAGCTACCGCCTTGCTCGAAGTAAGAGCGGTGTTATCTCAGGGGACAACGGAGGCGACTGGGACGTGAATGTAACGGGAAACTAACGAGCTACACGGCAGCGGATTTCATATCTTTATACTTTAATACCCGAGGGGGAAAAATGAAAACTAGAATAATAATCAGTCTTCCCGCTTCTTGTTTATCTACCCTATAACTAAAGTTCGTCGGTCACGGTAGCCGAGCGGTCTAAGGCATGCACTGTCTTCGCTCGCTCGGAAGGCGGGATCGTGGGTTCGAATCCCACTCAGGGCATGGATATTTGTGTGCGTTTTTCTGTGTTTGTGTACAGGTTGAGGCCTTGCGACGAGCTGATCACTCCCCCAAGGACTTCTACCGAATGTGTAAGATCTAGAAAAACTGAAGTGAATGGAGTTCATGGAGGTAGGCCTACGCCCACTGGGGCTGTAGGGTCAAGGAAAAAAAACCTAAAGTTCAGATAGAGATAACAATACAATAGTCCTAATTATAATCTTTTCTTCCGTTGCTTTTGACAACTTCAGAACACAACATGGGAGAAACAGCACTTGGAAACACATTCCAACTGACTTTCCTGAAAATGTTTTAAGATACCTAATATAAAGTTAAGATAAAGTAAAGTAAAATTTGTCCCTGTGTTCAATTAATTAAGCATCGAGCCAAGAAGACGTATGAGGGAGTGGAGATTATAGCTCCATAATTCTTGACCTCGATATTGGATAGGAGTGGTCAGCTTCACGCCCCGAGCCGCTTCACCCACGGAGAAAGAGTCCCCGGTACCCACTCTACAGGAGGCTGGGTGGGCCCCAGAACCGGTCTGGACTCTGCATAAATTTATGATACTAAAATATATATACACAGAGTAAATTAACCGCAGTGGTAACGTTTCTGGATTGTATTCGGGAGATGTCTGGTTCGAACCTTGGTCGGAGCACCAATTATCCTGACACAGTTTTCGTAAATCTATGGAAACAAATTACTTACTTATGGATCTGAGCCCTTCTTGAGGAGAAGCCAAATCTGCAGCTACTCAAGGATTTCCCAGCATTTTATGGAACCCGAAGAGTTATTATCGTGTTCACAAGAGCCCTACAGTGGTCCCTATCCTGAGCCAGATAAATCCAATCCATACCATCCCATCCTATCTCTCTAAGATCAATTTTTAATATTGTCTACCCACCTACGTCTTGGTTTTCCCAGTGGTTTCTTTCCTTCTAGCTTTCCCACCAATATCCTATATGCATTCCTCTTCTCTATCATTCGTACTACATGCCCTGCCCAGCTCATCCTACTTGATTTGATCATTCCTATTATGCTTGGAGAAGAGTACAAGTTATGAAGTTATGAAAACAAACACCGTGATAATATGTCAGTAGGACATGACGGCTTCCTTACACGTTCTTTCAAATTCACTATTTACCAACTGCCGTCACAGAGCCTCAGTTATTGGCTGTATCGCTACATAAACCGTGAAATGTAAGGTGTGCATTTAGCATCAGAGAGCTCTGGTTCCTCTAACGTTTCGAATTGTCACTCAGCTCAATACAGCGACAAGACTAAAGCAATTGGGTAAGATGCCTCCAGTTATCTTGTTCACGTGCTGAAGCCATTTCATACTGTAATGTCGCTTTGCCTTACACTGGGTATACTCTCAATCCATTAGCGATACAAGAATGAAATTAAAGTAAAGTTGTAAGATTCGAGGTTTTCAGGGCAGTGACTATTAAGAATGCCTTCTTGTGGGGTGTGGCGCCGTGTAGATCCTGTGTGTGGCCGTACACTCCAGCAACCTGCCCACGTTGGTTCCTTGCTCGCGGATTTTTATATCTTGAAGATTGAGGCAATACGTTCCTCCGAAACGTCGGTTCACACAAGATCTAAACTACGCCACATCCCAAAAGGCGACATTATTTAAAGTAAAGATGTTCTTGTTCTTAATTATTAAGCACTATACCATGAAGACGTATGAGGGAGTGGATGTATAGATCCACATTTTCTTGACCTCGGCACTAGCTGCAGGTGAGTGGTCAGCTTAACGCCCTTGCCGATCTACTCCCGGGGAAATAGCCTCCATATCATTTATTTAAGATCCATTTCTAATTATCCTTCCATACATGCAAAATATAACGAATCCAAACGCGCAGAATTTGGTGGCCATTCTGTTGATTTGACGAATTCAATTGTAGTGTCATCTGTTACTTATCAAAAACATCTAATATGAAAGCAAAATTGACATTTTTAACATTCAAAATGGAGCAGTTCATTTTTACATTTCCTAGACATCAGTTTTTTTGGCCACCGGGTATATTTAAATCAAGTTATTATCCTATTTGAGACAGCTTAATATTCCGAGTCTCTTGACCCCACCTTGTAGTTCGTGTTTTAGCCAAATGAACCGTTTTTTATTACGAAGAACTCGAACAATTCTTCAGAGACTTTCATTCTTGTCTCTTGGTACTGCTGAGGAAAACCTTATGCTTGTGCATGGAAAGACTTGTTTAGCCTTGGGCAGTTCTAGGTCTTTTTTATATGTATCTGTCCCCTCCCTTGCCACCTCACCGCCAGTACCCCCCACAGATCTTTGGCCACCTTTGAAGAACAACCTGTTGATGACGTCACGACAAACGACGCTGGAAGATTGTTCGAGCGAAGTGGCAGACAGACCGAGTTGGCTACTAAAGTGTGAAGGTGTGTATGTAGCTTCCATTTCAGAGCTGGCGTTTCAATTGATTAGATTAATGTAATTAGTTGTTTGAAGTGTACCGTGGGTGTGGCTATGAGCGCGAAGTGATGGGAACACGAAGTTGGACAGGTGACGGACGGCTCTTCTTCTTCTTCCTCCTTCTTCCCTGCTGAGAAAGGAACATCCCATCCATCTGACCAGCTCCATGGATGAGGTAAGGTTAACCTCACGCAAACTGGTCCATTTAAGAGTAAACGCTTGTTTAAGTAATTTATTTGCTTTAGTTACGTGACGGATGGGTGCAGTAGGATAGCTACATGGGGAAAATTGGAGGCAATTACTTCGCCTCGTCAATATGATATGCCGTTCTTAATCATTTACATAGCTGGAGGGCTAAGAAGAACGGCTATTACGTCGATCCTTCGACGGAAGGGAGATGCTACCTGAATCTCGCTTAAAAATGTAAATTAGTACACATTTACTACTGCATAATGAGGAACTTCATCATTTACACTTTCACTAAATACAATATTAATAGAATGATAATATGAAAGGGGGAAGATGGGTAGGACATAAAGAACGTATGGATGAAATTATAAATACTTTACAATGCTTTGGACAGGCAACTTGAAAGGAAGAAACAACTTGGGAAACTTGGACATAGAGGTAGACAGGAGGGAATATTATTAAAATGTGTCTTAAAGAAGTAGGTTGTGAGATTATAGGCAAGATTCTTCTACCTCGGGCTGGAGCCCACTGGCTGGCTATCTATCTAGGGTTCTACAGCCCTTGTGGGTCTTGGCAGCTTTTTCACTTACTTAAACCCATACATATTCGGTAGGGCTCCTTGGGCGGGGAATCAGTCAATCGCACGGCCGCAATCTATACACAGAACAGCACATACACAGAATAAACGCAGACAGACATCCATGCCTCTAGAGGGATTCGAACCCACAATCTTAGCGGGCGAAGACAGTTCATGTTTTATACCGCGCGGCCGCCAGGATCAGCGGTTCTTGTAGACGTGGGAATGAAATTTTGAGTTCCATAAAAAGTGAGGAATAACTTGTAAAATGAGAGACATACATCTCACAGTGGTTACTATATGTACCACCAGCTTTAATGTAAAAATCTGTAATTTACCCAAAGAGTGTCTTTATGTTTTCGTATGATTCTTATAACACACAGCAAATACTTTCTTAGGCAGCATTTTAATCGACTGGTCTTTATAATGGAAGGCAGTGTGTGTTCTGGGAGGAAAGATTTGGATTAGCGAATGTAATTTAGAATAATATTTGTCTTCTAAGGATGATGAGATGGGAAGGGCATGTAGCAAGAATGGGGGAGAGGAGGAATGCATATAGGATATTGGTGGGAAAGCCGAAAGGAAGGAGACCACTAGGAAGATCAAGACGTAAGTGGGTGGACAATATTAAAATGGATCTTAGAGAGATGGGATGGTATGGATTGGATTAATCTGGTTCAAGATAGGGACCAGAGTAAGGCTCTTGTGAACATGGTGATGAACCTTCGGGTTCCATAAAATACTGGGAAGTTCTTGAGTAGCTGCACAACTGGCGGCTTCTCAGGAAGGGCTCAGCTCCATGAGTGATTATGCTACAAACGGTTGTCGTAACTGGGCGATGTTTTGACGCCCGTAGAACAGACAGGGAAACCAGCTCCATGTAAAGAATTTAGAAACAGGCAGTTACATCGTAAGTCTGATCCTCCATACTAGTTGTTGTTGAAGGTGGCGATCATGATAGAGTACTGTAAGAAGATATGTCCTCTTCATTGCAGTTATCACCAAAACGAATCATTCCGAAGTATTACAATTTCAAAACCATCATTGTGGATATAATATTTTGGTGTCAGAGGCACGTGAAGCAAATATCCGTCCACTTGCAACGTTTTTATCCTTAACTCAATTTGCTTCCAGAATTGTTCCTTTATATGTTCTTTAAACATTCGTCTTTATCACTTAACTATCTTCACTAGTAAAAAAGTAAAAAAATAAAAATAATAAAACAATCCCTGTAACAGGCCGTGGAGGTCTATAGGGATGTGAGACGTCGAGGCTCCCACATTTTCTAGACAATCACCTTACAGATGGTGGTAAGGTTGTCAGCCTTACGCACCGGTCGCCCTTTACTCCGAGAGAAATTCCTGGTACTCATTTCTGTTAGAGGCTCAGTCGACCCCAGGGCCATAGTGCGGCTGGAAGGATTAGGTAAATTGAAAAAAATCCATCTCATCGGGATTCGAACCCGTGACCTTGCGGCTTGTAGCATAGTGCCTCAACCAACTATGCTAAATTCAACAAATTGATAACAGTAAGGGCTGTAAGTACGCACAGACATGAAAATCGTATTTAGTTCCAAATCCCTTTTTCGATGACGTCTGAAGACTTAGAAATTGTCGATTCCAACAACGAAACATGTACGAATTACAGTTTTCTTAATAGCTCGTATTAAGCTCATTCCCCGGGGCTTGTATATCAATAGAAAGAAACTACCCGTGAGTTGTTCCGAAAAAAAAACTCTACCCTTTATTGGAACCAACGAAAGTAACGAATTAGAAGGTTCGATTTATTAATTAATTTAAATAAATTTAAGCACAACAACAAATTTGTTTACCAAGCTATTTCTTAGCAATTGACGTCGCCTCTAAAATTAAAAAATTCGCTTAGTGGGGGGTGGAGACCAACTGGGTCCAGTCGGCACGGCGGCCACTGATTGGCCTATTGTAGCCTGCCCTGGGTGATTATGATGATGGAGAATTTGGTGGAATGAAGATTGGCAGGGGAAACCGAAGTACTCGGAGAAAACCCGCCCCAGCGCCACTTCGTCCACCACAAATCCCACTTGACCAGACCCCTGGGATCGAACCCCGGCCGCCGCGGTGGGAAGCCAGCGACTAACCGCTTGAGCTATCGCGCGGCCCGACGTCTCCTTTAAATCCATTATTCCGGCTTTCATACGTCATGTCACAGTACGAAGTGTACAATTAAGAAACGCGTTCGGCAAAGGAAATACACGTATATCTGAAATAATCAAGTCTATGATGAAGTCTTCCCTTATAACAAACAATAACAAAATTCAAATGCAGTTATTCATTGTTGGATTGTGATACTCTAAGTGTCGAGAATTCAGTACTACAGTGCGGTCGCGCTTAAGGCGAATTTGAAATAATGCCAATCCCAAAAATCCCTTTTACTTTACATATATTCCTATGAGAAATCTTGTCTTGAATTATGCGAGGTCTTCAGGAAAATAACATCGCATAAAACAGGACCGCGCTATGTACAGTCATACAGGATTAATAAACAATTAATATTAAATGTTCAGTGTCTGCAATTATTACCGCATACAACATAAAGAAAATTAAATATATTTTATTTAATATTTGCTACAACCTCCAACTTTAATAGAGCACTACATAAAATGATTGACGTTCTCTAGTTTTTCACTTTCTCCTATATGAGAAAATATGAGTATTTTGAGTGTAATAAAGTTGATATCGATGTTTTGACGGATTTAAGCATGTTAAGCCCCCCAGATTCCATAAATGTCTTTTGGTATGGCGTAAGTATGTGTCCATTTATGTATGTAGCCTAGGTACGAACGTGCGACTCGCGAGTGACTAAAATATTTCATAAATAAATATTTCAAATATATTCTAAACATATTTGGAGAAGAGTACAAGTTATGAAGCTCCTCATTAAGCAGTTTTCTGCACGTCCTGTCACTTCATCCCTCTTCAGTCCAGATATTCTCCTCAGCACCCTGTTCTCAAACACCCTCAACCACGAAGTTGCTATTGCAGACACAAACTTATTGTCGAAGAATGACTGTACAGCAGATGCTGCACTACAGAGTGAGAGACTGCTGTCGCTCTATCTCGTTAAATAAGCATACTCAACGCATCGAAAAACGTTTACAATAAAAGTGAGCTATATGAATATTTACGTCATTTTTAGAAAATTTATAAATTTTGATTTGAGATTCGCGAAAAATAGGAGTTATATTGGTCTGATAAAGACGGAAATTAAATTCATCCAACCAAATATCATTGAACTCTAGTTTGTAGTTTTGGAACACGCAGAAGCTTAGACAAATTATGCGCCTCTTGATAATAACTCATGAGAACTGGATTTGAATCAGTATTTGATTTCTCATCCCCTGTTCAGAAGAACATCTTCGATTTGATAACCATTATTATATTTGGTGAACACTTCCAAAGTCCATATTACATATTTCTTTCATCCTCCTATTTGCACATTCCGGCGCTAAGAGAGACTGTTAAGCTTATAAAGATGATTTTTTTCTCCTTTCGCTCCCACTGTGGAGCATAGGGCTGATTTCTCAGTTTCATGATCATTTTTACAGACGGTAGGACTCCTAGACGGGTGATCAGCTCGTCGCAAGGCCTCTACTTAAACACAGAACACAAACACAGAATAAACGCGTACATACACCAAACATCCATGTCTTGTGTGGGATTCGAACCCATGATCCCGGCTTCCGAGCGAGCGAAGACAATTCATGCCTTAGACTGCTCGGGTACCGTGACCGGTTATAAAGATGATTAGTGTTTGTAAAATGTCCTTCTGTTTCAACAATTTGCTCTTTGAACTTTGTAAGAATTTAAAATAGCATGGATTTCCAGTGTTGACACACATCCAAGCTCTAACAGAAAATAATATTTTGAGGTTATGAAGCTAATCTAGAATTCTTTTTAACTGAAGTTTAAGTGGTATTCGAAGGAACATTTCACAAAAATGTGAGACGCTACCGACTTAAAGGCTGTGTGGAATACAAGGTGTACCATAACTAATGATGCTAAAAGTCGAGACGCTAGGGTATTCAGAAAATAATTTACGTGATAATGGAACGCTTCACTGGAACCAAGATTCTGCCTGTCATACCGGAATGTAAGGTCACTTCAGCCAGCTCCAGAAGATGGCCGACCTGTTCCACTAGACGAATCTCCAGTTCGAATTATCTGAACAATAGAATCTGTCGGGACAGCACATTCTTATCTAAACCGCTGTTTAATATGAGAATGACGCTGAATGGACATATTGTCGAGGTCTAGAGCTACAACAGTAACGATATAGGCCGTATTGTTGCTTCTTAAGTTGCTTTAAAATTATTCTATTGTCTTCAAATGTAATTTTAAATTTTATTGTTACACAAAACGCTTACAAGAATG